AAAGTCCTTATGTTACTTTTTTGGGCAATTCTTCCGAGTTTCAGAAGATTGAATGGCAATTTTTTTTGGATGCCCATCATCATTATAAAATTTTTATCTGTAAAAGTTACTTATAGAAATTTCCAGGTTACAAGCAACCATTCAACAAGTGGTGGCTGTGGGCCCAAAGCACATGCTAAGTGAATGAGGCATGGGCCCTGTTGTCAGAAAAGCTCATCTCGTGAGAGGAAGCCTGACGCCACAGCTACAGCACAAAGCAGAGTGTGATTAGTGCCGTCTTAAGATAGTAAGTGTCTGATGTGGAGGGTGGGAGTATAGAAAAGGAAGAGCGTGGAGGGAGGCAACAGGCACGTCCCAGTGAGACTCAGGAGAGGGGGTGGCAATGGCACCGACCTTGAGCTCTGCATAGATTCATTACAGAAGAATCAGAGTGAACAAAGTGTGGAAAATGATGGCGATTGGCGGGGAGGGAGGGTTCTCGAACGGTGGGAAATAGAGTCTTATTGGGATAGGGAGCAGTAGGTTAGAGAAACGAAGTTTGGACAAAGAATGATGCTCATCTAGACACTACTGGTGGCTTCTGAAGTAGGTGGTATTTTGAACCAGAAATGCTGACCTGGTCGCTCTGTGAAGGGACTGGAAAGGTGATATGAAGGTAGGAGTGCAGTGAGGAGGCCGCAGCAGCAAACCATGATGAAGCCAGCAGCGTTTCAGACACCACACTGCAGCTTTGGCACTGCCCTGGCTGCTGGGGGCTGTGGGCCAACGGTTGAACTCCTGCAGGCCTTGTCTTCCCCAGGTGTAAGATGCAAGCCTCCTCTCAGCATCTTTTCAACTTAAACAGGAAAATCCTATAATATCAATGTTGTCCAAAGCTTAAGCGAAGGTAGTCAGCACTGAAAAAAAGCAGCCCACACACGTGCCAACAGGCCTGGCGTTTATCCAGGCCTTACGGTTAGCTCTGGGCGGTGGAGTTATTAGTGGCTTTTGTTTTCATTCGCTTATCTTCATTTCCTGTTATTTCCTACATGTGCTATTTATGTAATAAAAAGTTATCGTTTTTTTAAAAAGTAAGCCCTCCTACCATCACCACCACACTCCCTCACACATACACACATTTATATAAAATAAAAATAAAAATATTTTAAATGTCAGTTTTTAAAACACCTACAGCTAAACGCCCACTGGGGGAAAGAACATGAGTAGTGTTTCAATTATGTGATAAGTTACCTAATTATTCCAGAAAGTGACTATATCTGAGAAGGATTACTGTACCTGTTCTAATTCACACTTCTCACATCCTTGAAGAGAAGGGACCTCACAGTATTAAGTTATTGCAGCATTTTTTGGTTTTGGTTTTGTTTAAATCATGTTGTTTTACTACCAAGGCCTAGCTTCCCCACGGACAACATGAAAGATACTCTCAAGTCACAGAAGAAAAGCATCTTATCAACAAATAGGAAAGAGGAAAATCTCCTAAGACATAGATGGGGAAATTACATCAGTTTAATATAATAAATGATGTTTCATAAAAATATTGTTAGAAAAACACAGAACAGATCAAATTGAGACGACCAGAACTGGACAAACACAGACTACTTGAGTAATACGTGCTGAGAGGATGAAAAATTCATCTCAATTTTGATATAATCAAGTACAGTATATCTTCAGATGACTTAATTCTCAATGAAAAAAAAAAAGAATATCCATATCTACTCTTTCCTCCCTCCTACCACCCAAGCTTGCTTACTAGAGTCCCAGTTCCTATTTCTTGCCATAAAGTGGACTTGCAGCATGATTTCACTTCCCATAGTTAAGATAAATGTGAAAATTTAAGCAGCTGCAGTTTACAGGAATTAAGATAATATCCAATGCCCCTGTTGCAGACAATATTTGAGATTGAATTAAACCTGCCAAGGTTCCTCATTTTAGAATCATGTTTTATTGAAAGAAGCTCATTCATTCGTGATGGATTTTTCAAAAAGAGCATTTGCCAAAGAAAAGCGAGGACCCAAAATCATTTTGCCAGGAACCATTTTATATCTACTTGTAAGACTGTACATTAACCAATCTTGAGAAAAGTGACTACAGAAACACTGAAACAGTACGCCTTCGCCAGAACTACCGCTCCCTCCCAGGGCTCCCCTCACACACCATATTTTAGGCTAGATAAGCTGGTCAGTATTTTCACGAAACTTAAATATTATATCATGCAAAAATGTTGTCCTTATTAGGATAACTTTGGTACAGAATATGTATTTGATATTCCATAGTGACTGTTTCAAAAGAAATAGTTTGTCACTTACCTTTTCTAGATTGAGGCACTTAAATTTGCTTCCTTCCCAGGCAAAGAACCCCGAGGGCCACGTAGTGGAGGTGGCAGCGTCAGGGCTGGCCAGGGGAGGGGGATGAATTCCTGTCCTTTGCTTGGAGCATCTGTGATGTTTCTGTTCCTCACAAAGGTGTGCTTCCGAGCTCCAAGGTATGTCATGGAAAGGTGTTCACAGCGTGGCCCTCGAGGTTCTCGGTCATCTGCACGAAAGGCCATCTGTTGATTCCTTAAGCAGCTCGAGCAGGGATCAGGACATGTGACAATGACCACCCAGGCCCCCGCTTCTGGTCAGCCCCTCGCTGGCTGCCGGGAGGTGGGGGGTGGTCAGCTGCTGGGCCAGGTGGACCTGAGGGTGATTCCTCCTCTCCCACTGTGCCCACCCAGGGCACCCGGCTTTCCATGTGCTGGTTCCCCATACACATGTTGACACACACGTGAGTCAAACCAACATAGATAGAGTCAGTGTTTGTTGAATGAATGATACAAAACAATGAAAGTCAGCTCTAGTCAAAACTTCAGCAAGAGGTGTGGGATCCAGCACGACTATCTGATTTGAGTTTTCTTCCTTTTCCAGGTGTCTCTCCCGGCCTGTCCCCACCTGTCCCTGCCCATCCCCTGCAGGGGGTGCCAAAGAGCAAGGGGTGGCCGAGGGCAGTGGTGGGGAGGAATCCGGGCCCTTGGAGTGAACTGAGCTGAATGATGGATCTGAGGGAGCGACGATGGGAGGCCGACAGAGGGGTGGGTGCAAATGTGGAAAGGTTGTAAACCTCCGCTAGACGTTGGGGTGCCTGACCACTAGAGACCTGGACCCCTGTGCGTGCGTGTGTATATGTGTGCGTGCATGGGCGTGTGTGTGCATGCATGGGTGCATGTGCATGTTTTATCTTGTCTGTGAATATAGTTGAAAACCTGTGTCTACATATGACACGTTGAAAACCCACAAAGAAATGCTAGGGGACGAGACCAGTATCTCCTTTGGGCACAATAATGCAGCTGGGTTTGGTCCTTTGAAATGCTTTTACTTAAAATCACCATCGTGTCTCAGCTGAACAGATCAATAAGAATGCATAGACAGGGCCGGCATGGGTGTCTCTGTGGAGGGAATGTTCCTTTGTTTCCTCGTCCACGTCTCCTAGTCACTACCGACAATCAAGTGCCCAGAAGAATTAAGACTGGAGCAGCCGAGGGTCAAAGCATTGGGTGTCGTTCTTGTTGTGTTTGTTTCTTTAGCACTACCAGCTGTTTAACATTGTGCACACATCAGAGCAGCTCAGTATGTTAAACATATCACACCAGGTGGATTCAGAAGAGCAGGCCAATTACAAGAAAAATAACTCCTGTGCAAACAGAAATGGGAACGAGGGAGAGCCCTACCAAGAGCCTGGTCTGAGCTCCTGGGCCTGGAATTAAAATATATGACTGTTGTTGTCGCTGAGTGGTGAGCTGGTCCCCAAACACCTACCAGTACCTGGGGTTTCCTGTATACATGGCAGGGCCGGGGTGTTTTCCCCCTTCCATCCTGCATTGTTAGCACATATCTCAGGAAACGATGTCCCTTAGTTAAATAACAGCCGCTCCGTTTGAACACACCCTTCCCTGGTGGTCAGAAAAGCAGAAGAGATCTGGTCCCTCCGTCTATCCTGTGGGACGACCCACTGAACGCTTTGCCCCATTCTGGAGGATCTCATGAGGGGTCAATTCCCATCTCTAGCTGAGAGGCTTTCTGAATTCACCACTGTGACATGAGTTTGATTGGATATATAAAATCGTTTTCAAACAGTGTGTTTTATAGTTTTCTGTGATGTAATTTCAAGCAGTTATTGCAACATAGTATCTGTTAGTAACTGGTGGTTCTCTGAGAAAGAGAAAAAGAAAATGAAAGACTTTTAATGCAAAACATCATTTTCTGAGATGCTTTCCCAGACTGAGGTTTATTCATGGTTTTTGTCAGCCCTGTTTCTTTACCCCGCCACAGCTTCTGCCTCCTTCCTGTGTAGCATGGTCTTCACTGTTTTGCTAACTGTGTTTATTCCTTCTCTGATAGAGGCAGTGTTCTCCTCTATGTTTCCACGCACCAGAGCCACAGCTACAGACCCTGCTCCCAACTCCCTGATTCCCCACTGTGGAGCCCAGACGCCCTGGCCAGACATTCAGACCCCCACTGCCCCCGCCCTTCGTACCTGCCATCCCCATGCTGTGGCCAGACACACCTGCACCCGAGCCGGTCGCTCTCCCAACCTGCGTGAACCTCTCACCCTTCAAAGTACTTGCAGTAACCCTCTGAGTGCTGCATCTCATTAACTTACTCCGAGCTGGACCCATTTCTATTCCAGGTGTTGGCTGGTTAATCAAATCTGGTCTATCATGTGTCTCTCCTCCCCACTCAGTTCCTAATAGCTGAAGAGGCGACATCGTAATCTGAGTACCCTTAGGAAACGCATCGTGAACACCTTTGAGCCAACACACAGAATGTGTGAAAAGCCTTCGCTGCATTTGCACATCTGGGTAGTCTGTTCCCCCCAGATCTGGTGTGAACCAGCACCCTAACTCATACTCACAGGTGAAAGGTGGGCTCCACCCTCTGCTGGCCACCTGGTGTCCCCGATCACGTCCAGGGACCCCACGCTGTTCCCCGTGACGCCCCCTGACTCTGTGCTTTCCATTTCAGGCCTACATGGAGGACCACTTGAAGAACAAGAACCGGCTAGAGAAGGAGTGGGAGGCGCTGTGTGCCTACCAAGCAGAGCCCAACAGCTCACTTGTGGCCCAGAGGGAGGAGAACATGCCGAAGAACCGCTGCCCGGCAGTGCTGACCTGTACGTACTCAGCCAGGGAGCTCTGGGCCAGGGGAGGGGGGCGATGAGCTGGCCACGGGGGCAGGCCGCACCTTCCTGTTCTCTCGGCATTCTTCTGCTGACATTCTCATGGGCTGGAAAGCCCTTGCCCCCTCCTCCCCATGGGCCCTCTGTACCAGCAGACTGTCCTCTCACTTTGAAGAGCAGTGTGGACATCACCCCTATGAAGCCGTCCCAGCCTAAAATCAGAGTCAGTTTCTTGCTTTGTGGTCCAGTGGCGTAGTCCTGAAGCCACGGGCGGGGCCGTGCAGTCCCCATGAGCACCTGCTCCGTTTGCCCTTACTCTGTGATTTGAGACTCACTTCCTAACCTCTCCAGCCTCCTCTTCGTCTGTAACTGGGGTCACACCGCTGTCCTTGAAATGTTGAGGCTGTGATAGTTGGATGAGGGAGTTAGCGTTGTAGGGACCAGATGGGTAGTGGTAGCTACCACAGCAATTTTTCAGCCTTACAATTATTTCAACAAGCCTTACGAGGATCTACTATCTGGCGAGAACTGTTGCCATAAAATGGAGATACAGAAAGATACCAGTTCTTTAAAGCAACTTGCACGGAGTAGAAGACACGGTCTTGTATTCTGCGCAGTGTATGATGTGGTGAGTGACTTGTAGAGGCAGAGCCCACGGAGGACAGACTGGCTGAGTCTGTGCATCTTCCCACCAACCTGGAGTGGCCTTCCTCGTGTCGTTAAGCAGTGATGCACCAACCTCCTGTGTTCTGGCAGGTTCCAGGCCAGGTTTGGACTTTGATTAACGCGTAAACCCACCCTGTAGGGGGAACGGGATCTTAGGTGTGTGACATAAGTAGATGCTCACTGAATGTGGCCTTCACGAGTGATCCGTGTGTGTGTGTGAGTGTGTGTGTGTGTGTGTACTTACCCAGTTACTGTCCTAGTAACCTTAACACGAGAGGAATTCTTGCATTCTTCAGACATAATAAAATGTACTTTGTCAGCTGCCATTTTCAAGGGCACAGCAAAGCCACCCTCAATCTCAGCGGGCCAGATCAGCGTCCACTGTGGGGACAGCACCCCGTGTCACAGGCCCCTGTCCCAGCCCTTTGGAGCCAATTTGGGGACCACCAGTCATGGGACCATAGCCACGGTGCCCCAAAGCCATGACCAGCTCTTGCCCGACAGCCCCGAGCTCCCCTGGCCTGGGAGGGGCACTGTGACCTCTCCCTGATGGGAAATGGCAGCAATTTGACCCGTGTTTACAGGTCAGGAAGACTAAAAGCCGGAAGGAACCTTGTGCTGCTCTAGACAGTAACCTGGGGATCACAGACCTTTGTGAAATCTGAACACATTTCCAGGTATAAGTGTTTCCTAACAACTTAGTCAGTGTTCAGACCAGGCCCTCCGTTTCCATGAGGTCCGAGGCGGTTTTTCCATAAAGAGCTCTAAAAATAGGAACTGTTGCAATTTAGAAGTTTTATTTCTAGAAGGAAAGCAAAAAAAAATACATTCAATCGACTAACAGGTATTTATTAAGCACTACTGTGTGCCAGGGGCTAGTGACAGATGCTGGGGCATCCAGTGACCCAATTATGGCCACTCTCCTCAAAGAGGATCCAGATGGGGGGCGGGAAGAGGGGTAGGGAGAGAAGGCTTCCAGCAGGGTCTTGCATAACTACTGTTTGGGGCAAATAGACACTCAGTGAGCTTGTACTGAATGTCTCCTGTGGGTCTGGTTGTTTCTTGGATCATTGAGTCTCCTTTGGTAAATATTAAAATTCAAAGCCTTTCCTCCAGCACCCCCTCCCACAGTGATAAACAGAAGACGCAGACCAACAGTGGTGCTCCCATCCACATACCCTACAGCACGTGCTGGCCCCTGGGCTCTGTCTGTGTGTGTCAGCAGCAGGTCCACAGGCTGGGACCTCAGTGACGGGAGAGCATCCTGTCCTCGGCTGCGAGGTGGGACCACCTCTCAAGGCAGCCGTCAGGGTGAGGCTCCAGCCACACGGGGACCAGGGCCCTGGGAGCCCCGACGTCGCCCCTTAACCAGATCCTCAGGCCTGCGGCACTCAGGCCAGGGCGAAGCCTGAGAAGAGGAACCCTTTCTTCGTTGGCTCTGGTGCTGGGAGCTGGAAGGAAGCCACATGTGCTTGACCCCCGTCTGTCAGGACGGGCCAACCCCAGGCAGCTCTGTGGATGGGGTTGAAGGTCAGTCGGAGCAGCCAGGGCAGGCAGGCACACTGCTGGGATGAAGTGGATGGAGTAAGGCATTTCCGTGGATAAACGGGGCTACTTGGAGCAAACTCCTGTCACCTCCTTTGTTCTGCACACCACCGACCTTCTCAACTCTTAGAAGGAACTCATCTGCAGTTCTACCCACATCCCTGCCCCAGCAGGAGACTAGGGGATGGCATGCTTCTCCTCCTGTTGGCCTCGCCAGGCTCCGCCAGGGAGGGTGACCTCCTCGTTCTGAAATCTGTCCGGCTGTCACCTCGTCACAGTGCTGTGAGGTGTCAAGGACAGTGGGCCCCCACGCTGCTCATAGGCTCTGAAGGCCCATGTCGACGCCCCGTAAACGGGTAGACCAGCGCTCGCCTGGTTGGAACGGTGCTCCCCCGGCGTCCACACTTCGGAGTGGTGTCAACTCTCTTTCAGTGGAAACCCGAGAGCCGCCGTCCTCTCTGTGTTTGCCGTATCTTTTGCCGTATCCTCTCCCATCACTTCCAGCTTATTCCCTCATTTCTCAATACCCTGCCCTCTCTGCTGGCTCCCACCCCAGGCCCTGACCCTCCCTCCCCAGGCCTCCCATCCTCCCACCTCCAGCTCCTCTCCTTTGCACCAGCCCTGCTCCTGCCCCCGCTACGCTGGCCCACCTGGGCTCCTGTGGCTTCCACTAGACCTGGAGGACAGCCTGCACCCTCCCTGCTCCTCACGCCCTCCTTGACGTCTTTGCTCACCGGTTCCCATCTGAAATGCCTCTCCTGCCTCCCGGCACGGGGCTGCTCCAGCTTAGGCTGGAAGACATCTTAGCTGGCAGATTGCGTGGGAAATTCAGAAGTGGCAGGCTAGTGACTGCGATCCCCTACAGCCTGGAGAGTCTAGCTACATCCAAATTATCTTTCAAAGGAGAAGGCGACTGGCATTTATGAGAAGCTTGACTGGCACTGTGTAGGCTTAGTTATACTATCTCAGAAGTTTAAAGAATTTAATATGCTTTTTAAATTTTTTTGCATTTTCAAAAAGAATTATGCAATATTCTGCCCATCTGCTTTTTAAATTAAGAACAGAAATATGATCCTATTTTGGTGTACCACCTTCAATAAAAAAATAGTTTTGATTCTGTGTTATAATAAGAGAGAAATAGATGGAGACACAGAAACACTTAGAGTGAAACCAGAGAGAATGAAAAGCTGAAGTGGAGACAGAGACAGATGCGTAACAGCATCTTCTCCTAGCTGGGCTTCTTGGGATGTTGTTACCAAAGAGATTCCGGTCAATTTCACAGGCCCAGCTGCCGGCGCCCCCGCCCCGCCTGCACGCATGGTGCTGTGGGGGTGGCAGCTGACTCTGCTCCGCTCTTCCCAGTCGGGTCACCTGGGTGGCACCGCGCTCGTGTGTGCAGACCATGAGCTGCCGCCACCCGTGTGCCCCATCAAGGCCTGTCCCTTGTGACCCTCACGGGAATCACCCCTCCACCTGACAGGTGAGGACACGGGGGTTTGAACCCACGTCCTCTGTGACGGGACGCTGCCCCACATATGCTTTTGTGGACTCACTGTAGTTTTTGTGTTGGAAAAATGTACATAAATTCCAGACTTCCACGGAAATGAATACTTGAAATACATACCAGGACGACAGTACTTTGGCCAAGCATTGCTTTCCTTAAAACACACAGAAGGTAATTTCTTTCCAAACAAACTTTTGGTTTGAATTTTTTTTCCAAACTCGAAGCAGAATCCCAGTAGAGGGATTTAGCCCCCTCTGAGTGACCGAGACTTAACCCTGGTTTGCCTTTAACCATCAATCCGTGGAAAGCTCCTAACTCTGAAAAGCAAGCAAGATTTTCTTTTCCTCTCCTATAAGATGCTCTGGACGCACGTCTCACATCTGCATGTCCAGATGAGTTCCTGGCTGGGCCGTCTTTTCTCCCCCAGTTTTTCTGTCTCAGAGCCTGAATCTCTGCCTCAGGACCTGGGAAGGCTGTGGGTATGTTGGTGTTGGGAAGAAAATATACCAGCAAATCATGTGTGGGCTTTTTCTTTGCTGCATCACAGACAGGAGCTGTCCGGGCGGCTGTGCTGCCTGAGACTGAAGGATTTTCTTTTAAGGGAAGCAGGAAAAAGGCAAACCCAGTGTTTCAGAAGCGCACAGTCGTTCCCATCAGGCTGTGCTCTGAGAGTAGAGATTATCCATAGTGATGTCCACAGACGTGATGGCACATATACCGTGCCTCTGAGAACGGCCAGGGCTGGTTGTCAAGCTGGAAGCTGCGCTGACTGTCCCCACGACATAACCACTCATGGTTCAGATCCGAGATCCTCTTTACTTCCCTTCTTGAAGTTCGACCACCAGATTGTAGGATGTCTGGTCTCGTGTATCATGGTTGTCCGTACTTCTCAGCCTTCACTTCCCAGTGTTACCTACCGAATCCTAGCGTTGGGGGGACCTGAGCGTGTGGATAGAACTGGAACCGTGGAGGCGGCCGGCCAGCATCTGAGCCACCTCTCACAGATGCGCTCTAGTGTTCTATGCCCATAGCGACCGATTGCAACCCTTCAGAAGGGCCAAGACAGTGGGCGTGTTTCCTCCTGGGTCTCGGTGTTTTTATTTGTCTGGTGTGAGGTCACGTTCGTTGTGCAGTCAGCAGTCACGACGTTGGCTCATGCTGAGGTTGCAATCATCTGAAATCCAGGGCCTTTTCTGTAAGGACGGCTGTTAACCCAGGATCCCCAAGCCCCCGCCCATCCTCACAGGGGCTTTAACAGAATTGAGCCTTACATTCACCT